GGTCTGCAGCGCCGTCTCCTGCGGCCCCCCCGGGGGGTACACAGGCCTTCCCGGCCTGGGGGGCATCTACTACTACCAGTACGGCGGCGCGTACAGCGGCTTCGGCGGAGCGGACGGGGAGAAAGCCCAGCAGCTCGACCAGCGCTTCCACCAGCTGAAGGTGCCCGTTGCCAGGGCAGCGATGGCCGCGGGAGGGTGTCTCCTGGCCGTCTCCTGCCTTCTGATCTCGGTTGGCGTTCTGCGGTTACCGTGGGGCTTCCCAGCGTGGCTGCTCCTGGAGTGCGTCCTGGACACAGCGATTGCTGTTGGCATCGTGCCCGCTGTGTACTATTTCTTCCATTTTCTGCTGGGTGTTTATAATTCATCAGTGTGCAAAGAGAGAGAGCAGCTTTATCAGAGCAAAGGCTATCAGGGCTTCAGGTGCAGCCTGCACGGGGCAGAGATTGCTGCTGGCCTCTCGGGCTGTGTAGCTGCCATGGCATACCTGCTTAGCGCAGCCCTAGCTGTCAGGGGCTACAGAACCATTCACAAACTGAAACAGAAACCAGTACAGTTATATGAGCACTAGAATGACTCCTCTGCTCCAGTAATAGTCATGATTTTTGTCAGCCTCCTTACGGAGACAAAGCAGTATGCCCTTGGTTCTGGGCAGAGCATCCTTAATGCTGCAGCAGAACACACCCTGAGGGTACAGCTCCAAATGTGGTAGAGTCGAGCTGTTCCTAACTTGAATTTGCGTTGTGGAATTATTAGTGTAAACAAAGTTAGTCCCTTGGCTCGCCTTCATCATGTGGCTGTCTCTTGGTGGAAGGTGACTGTCCTGTCGTTGACTTGCAAGCCAGGGCTCCACAGGCAGCCCTCCCATCCCGCCGGCTGTCGTGTTCTCCTCCACTGAAGTCTTGCTGCTACATCTGCTGATGAACAGCTTTGTGTAGCTGAAGCTGTCTTTACAAAGGGCGTGTGACTGTTCACTGAGAACAGAGCTCTTAAAAATGACCGATCCACACCTGTGGTTGTGGCAGCTAATTATTGCTTTCTTGTAGGTCTCCTGGCACTAACGCAGCAGTTTCCACATCACAGCATTTACAGAGCTATCAGAGAATCCTGAAATAAACCTGCAAAATGATGAACATACTCAGCCTGATTTGTGACACAGTACCTTTTTAAACTCTCCTGGAGAGGGCACGATTTTATATAAAATGGTCTTTTATATAACATCTATACAACAGTTTTGCTTAAAAAGATGCCCTGAGTTGGGACAATCAGACAAAAGCTGTAAGAGCTCAAGCAGGTGTTTTAAGATAGAAGTGTATTGTTTTCAAAATAAATTTTTAATGTTTTCAAAATAAATTTTTAATGTACAAGTTGGGGAAATGAGATGCTGCTCTTGTATTATTTAAAAAAGTTAAATTTACTTTAAAAAAAAAAACTTTTATAGGAAACTTAACAGGAAAAAGTAGCACTAGAATCCCAAAATCATGCCTCAGAATGAAATGTCATTTCAGAGCAGTGCCCACTATGTGAGTTGTCTGTGTGAGGATAGACCCCCCCGTGGTCCCACAGACCAGTTCTGCTCATATTAAAAAACCCCAAAACCCCAACACCAAGCTAAATGTACCAGAGGCATGCGGTATCTTGGGTGTATCTCCAGTTTCACTGGTACCAGTGACGAAATCCTCAATTACCAAAACCATGGAACATCACTGGAACTAGAAATGCAAAAGTGAAACAAATGCTAAGCAGGAACACGCCAGGTACTCCAGGGTTTGTCTGATTTCTCCTCCCTTTGAGTAGCTTGGTGCACTGAGTGTTTCAGTGCAGGGGCTGATGTGGACGGTCCACTGTGGGACTCTTTCTTTTAATAATTCTGTATTTCCTGCTTGCTGCAGCTACTTCCAGAGGGCTGTACAGCACCATTCAGAGCAAGTTCAGAGGGCAGCGTTCCCCTGGCGGGATACCCAGCACTGCCTCGTAATTGATGTTACGAATTCTGCCCTGGCAGGGCTCTGCAAGTCGCTTTTGTGCACAAGGCGCCGAGTGCAGCAGCACACAGCTCCCTGAAGCAAGGAGACCCTGCAGCAAGGCTCCTGCTGCCCACAGCTGTGTTGGACTGGGACGGTGCACCAACTCCCTCCAGCGCAGTAACAGAATCAGAATATAGTGTCAGATTAAAGTAAAAATCTTTATTGCTAAGTCATCTGAAAAGTTGATGCAAAAATATTCATCCTTCCTGGACTGTTCTATACATCTGAATAAAGAATCAAGGGAATAGTGTTTTCCAGCCATCTTACTTGCCTCCAGAGAAATACAAACATAGGCCACAGTGCTGAAAGTGCATTCACTGAACAACCTGCTCCCATCCGTGGTAAAAAATGGGAATTATTACAGGTGCATGCTAGAGTGGGATACAGAAAATATTATCCTTTTTAAAACAGAAAATATGAAAAAGGATTATTTAATAAACAGTTGGTGTGCTGCAATATTTCTGTAACATGCGCTGGGTCATAGGAGTCAAGTTAAAAAAAGCAAACATTTTAAAATGTGAAAAAAGAGGAAAAAATACACTTGAGTCTTCAGACAGCAGTGAACAGCGGACAACGATTGCACAAACCAAAGAGGTGAACCTACTGCCCGAAGGAGGCCTTTGGCAAAGGACACAAAAGCCGTCAGCATCTGGAAGGAGCGCAGAACTCCTGGAGTCTGAGGGCCGAAGGGTGGGTGAACGTCCCGCGTATGAGGAGAAGGATTTCAGGCCTCGCAGCAGCCTGTCCCCAAGAACAGGAAATACCTGCTCCTTCTTGGAACAGGGTTTTACCCTCCTGTGCAGTCCAGGATTCTGATCAGGTCCCAGGATCTGTGGGGCTGCCTCCGCCAGCCCCGTTCCTGGTGCTGGGGACAACGTGGAGGTGACCCCTTGTCCCCAGCACTGGGGTCCCAACGGCTTGTCACTGAGCATCACCTTCACGGGTTCCTGTTGCAGAAGCCTTTCTGGGCAGGGCAGGACAGACTCATCAGTGCCTTCAGGGTGCCTGTTCTTGGCAAGCGTGCTCGTCAGCAGAGCGCTGATTACAGAAGAGATGGACAAACGGACTCCCCAGCCCAGCTCCACGGTGGCCGCAGGGAGTGCGGCAGGTCTGGCGGGGACAAGAGTCCAGGCTGAGAACCTCTCTAACAGCAAGGCTGTTAACGAACAGGACATTCTTAGTGACGTGGCACTGTGGAGATGATGCATCTGGGCAAGAACCACATAGAAAAATCGGGTAAGACTGGAGAACAGGAAGAGAACTGGGGAAACACTTTCTGTCCCATGCTGTCACTGGACTTGCTCACTCATACCTGCTGCACCTACAGCAGTGCTCTGAGGGAGCTTGAAACCCAAGGTGGTGATAGTAAGCAAGGTGAGAAGACAAAGGAGAATTTTGCTGCCTCTGGGGAGGCAGGAAAACAAAAGGAGGTGGTGGAGGGAAGCACTTGGACTGTGCTGTCCAGAGTAAGAGACAGCTCATAGTACCCGCTTAGGCAGAGAAAGCCGTGGACTCTCCCTAGCGTAAGGGAACAAGCCGTGTTCTGACAGTTCACACCCACAGAAAACAGGAGCCGGTTGTATTAAAGTCCCTTTCTGCGTCAAAACCAGAAACAGCACTGGAGAAAAAGGCTAAGCAGCAATCCCTTGCCTTCCACTCTGCCACTGCCGCAAAGAGGAGCAGCTCAGAAATCTGCATGCTCTATTGCGCAGATTTATTTTCCTTAGTTCCTCCCCACTGAGCTAGGTAGAGCCGTTCACGACTGACGCCCCGTGGCAATGCCAGCTCTCCTCGCAATGCTGCTGGTGCGGACTGGCGAGGACACACCAGATTTTCCATGTCAGTGCAAGGAACAGAGACCTGATTTCCTGATTTGCTTAACATCTGCCACTCTGCTAGTGCCAGGTTTGTCATGTCGTACTCAGAAGAGTGTTTCTGCATCAGTCCTGTGCTGCACAGAGGCGGCTTTGCAGCCCTGTCAGGCGTCAGAAGGGGTTGGGCTGGGCACCGATATTTGGTGAAATTGTCACCAGTGACAGAAGTTACAGTCAAACACACTGGGATGAGCCTTTTCTGCATACTTACATGAAGAGAACATGGGAGAGGTTTGGGGTTTCGTTTTTGAATCTTTTCTCTGTTGTTTCTCTGCCTAAGGGATTGAAGTGCTGCTGTTTCTGTGATTCCAAGAATTACCTTTTAACAGCCAAAATCTGTGAGATTTTAAACTTTGGAAGAAGTTGGGTTGTTTCATGATTACATTGTAATTAGCACAAGGTATGTCCTAAAATGTTGCTCTCATGCATGACAAAAATACATTTTTTTTCCTATTGAGAAGAAATTCAAGGTGCTTTGAAATCTCAGAAAAACTCAGTTAGATTTTGTCAAAAGATCTGTATTGACAGAATCTCACAAGTAGCCTGCACAGTTCTTCCTCCTGAGCAAGGCCTGAATTTGGTCCAAATATACACAACTCAAGCCCCTCAGAGCTCTTGAGAAGAAACTTGCAAGTTTTCTTCATAAATATACTTAATAAAGAAGAAAAGGCACTAGCCCACATTACAGTCGGGATTATTGCACCTCTGATGTGCCCGGGGCAGCTTCTGTCCAGCTCTCTGCCAGCTAAGGAAGACAGACCTGCAGGGGCAGGGGTCCCCTCCCAACCCTTGCACAAGAGGACGACATCGGCAGCGACGCACACCAGAAACCCTAATGGGAACACAGTGCACCTGCCCAGTGCAGGCTGGCCAGTGCACCATTCCTGGGACTGCTCAAAACACCTTTTCCAGGGCCGATAAGGATGCTATGAAGGTGAAAAGTTCTGGTTTTCCTTTTGTACGGGAAGCTAAGCAGAAACAAGTATGCTTTCACCTCATCTGTGGCCAAATTGGGCATGTACTGCGAAAAGCGGGTTGCTGTGGGTGTGGAACACGACTCCTGACAGCGCAGAGCTCGTGTGGGTGGAACGGAGCTTCACCCAACGCGTCCCCGCACACGCAGGGCAGCCCCACCGCTCACCGGCCTGAGCACGGCACACCACTGCTTACAGCTCGGTGTCCTCATGAACCACGTGCCTCAACGAAACAAGCACAACCTCAGGGTTCACCCCATGCCCCCTGGACACAGGAAGCCTCTCCTGGGAAGCATCTGCGGTGGAGGTGGCCAAGCTGCTGCTGAGCTGGGTCTGTGCTCTGCAGCTACAAGCACTAGCTCTACACGATAATCAGCCAGCCCAGAGCTGATCTTCCCCATGCTCCATGTAAGACACATCAGTAGGACTGTGCTCATCACTCAGCTGCCTATTTCCTCATCCTGCGTAGGCTGATCCCATCGCACCAGTACTCAGAACACTGGTACCCTGGGTCCTCTGCTGACCTAACAGCATCCATTGGGAAAAGCCCCCACCACACCTGCTGTGCAGTTCTCTCCCCCCTAACCCTAAATAATAAAGTGCTGGGCTGAAGCAGAGCAGAACAGCTTAAGTGCAATCAATAAAAGTGCTTGCAATTAATGTAGGAAACCATTCTTGGGTCGGCTTCATTGCAAC